TGTGTCACCCCCGGGGCAAACCCTCCAGCGATTCCTCACCGTCCTGGGAGAGCACAGCAGCTGGGTCTGCAGCCAACGTGTCCATCCCTCTTCCCTCCAGGCACTCCATCGCCTGGAGTGGACTTGCTTTCCCACCCAACCCTCTTCATCCCACTCTCCACAGGGTTTCAGCTCAGGAAACTGGTCCCGAACCCCCAAACCCGATTCCGCGTCTGGGCTGCGGCCTCCCAGCACACGTGGGAGCGATCCTCCCACTGGGACATTTTGTCACTGTGCTAGGATCCTCTATTTGCTCCACAGTGTCCCCCGCTGGAGTATAAACCTGGAATTGCCCCCAGCGCCTGGCCAGGACCAAGTCACAATTTGTCAAATGAACGGATAACTGAGGCAGCTGGGGTCCCGGGAGAGCTGGCCCCGCTGGAGCCACGTTACGGACGCCCTGGCTCCTGAGGAGGGAGAGGAGAGCAGAGTGCAGCTGTGGCGCGTTGGGCAGCAGGCTTCAAAGTCTTAGCTGTTTAGGGGGTGACAGTTCACTGCCACATGGCATCAGCAAGTGGCTTCTGTCCCAGGGGCACAACCCCTCCCCCCCCAACATGCGGGCTGTGAGAAGCCGCCGCTCCTTAGACCAGCAGTCACATATGCCCACGAGTCTTGGGCCTGAAACAAACCGAGGGCAGGAGGAGCCAGCATTTGCTAGGTAACTAGAAGGGCTTGCAGGTCCTATGCCAGTAAGGAAAGTGAGGCCCAGGGCCCTGCCCACATGGCAGTGAGTGGTGGGAAGGGGGCAGGAAGTGAGGCCCGAGCCCTGGGGGTCCTGAGCCCCTCTGGCCCTACCTTGCCAGGCTTGTCTTTGCCGCCGCTGCTGGTGGAGCTGAGGGACCGCATGCGCTGCTCCTTGTGCTCCTCCACCTCGGACTTCAGGTGCTCGATGTGCACCAGGTAGGCCTGCTCCTGGGCCTCCCGGGTGCTCAGCTTCAGCTCCAGGGCCTTCTTCTCCTTCTCCAGCAGGTAGAGCTGGGCCTTCAGCTCAGCCATCTCCTCCTACAGATGGACACAGAGCGGGGGAAGGCAGGCAAGTGAGAGGGTCTGCGGCTATAAGCAAGGGGACAAGGGCGGGGAGGAGAATGACAGCTGTCCCAGGGCACGTGAAGGACTGCCCTGTAGACAATCCCGCGCTGTCCCCTATGGACCAGAATTGAGATGAGTGAACAGAAGATCCAGGCAAGCAGATTCTGGTCACCATGAGGAGAAACTTTCTAACAGCTGCCGTCCCTGTCCCCTGCAAAGGGCTCCGCTGCCTGGGTGGGACCCAGTCTTCCAGTGTGGGGAGACTAAGCGCCGTCGGTCAGAGAGGTTATACAGGAGGGTCGCCCACACAAGGTAGGGTCTGCTTTGCCATTTTCCAAGGCACCAACCCACATATTTGTTCACCCCTGATGGCAACCTTGGTGCCCTGTACCTGAGTCAGACAGGAAGGGAGCGCCCCCGGCAATGATATCGCCCCCAAATGAAAGCAACAGAAACAGAGTCTTTCGTAGGTGACTTACTGATGAGTAACGTCTCAAAGTATCTTAGAGAACCCAGAATAGAGGTTTTTGTGGAGAATAAGTGACTCCAAAATGGGACAGTGCCGTGCTGGGACCAAGAGCCCGACAACAATGATAATCACCCGTACTTGGTGAGCACGCAACACCGTTTAGATGTTCACACAAAGTAAGTCATTTAATCCTTCCAACCTCAGGTAGGAATTATGAGTCTCTCCATTGATGGATGGAACAATGAGGCACACAGAGGGAATGCACCCACTGGGTGAACTGTGGGCCAGCGTGTGAAGCCAGGCCATCTGCTCAGAACCCAGGCTCCTAGCCACTAAGCTCTAGCCCGTGCCCACCATCACATGACCACCAGGCTCCCCAGCTGCCTCCATGACCTTATTTAAGGGGAGTCTTCCCAATGCTGAGTCACTGCCTTGACAGGGATTCGCCACGGTCACTGACTCGAGTCACCCCGGAGTCACCCTCACCTGAGGTGACAAGCCTCACGCCTGGTGTGCTGCCCTGGATACGCCAGCCCCGGGGGAAAACCTAGCGGGCACCCATCACAGCTTATAATACTCAGGACTGGGGGCCATTAGACACGGAGAAGGCAATGTGCTCAGCGACTACCCAAGAGGAGATGCCAAACCTTTCCTGCAGATGAGACATAAAACCAGAATGGAGGGTTTTCATACACTGAGCCCTTCTGATCTTTTGCCAAAAGCACAGGATTCTGAAGGTCCTGGGAACTCTGCACACTGAGCTAACATGGACAGTCAGATCCAGCACAAATGTGAGGCAAGGTTGGAAGAAGGAAAGGTGGGTGCCGGCGATGGGAGAGGAAACGCCTGCGGGGAAAGGTAAGGCAGCCGCTGTGCTGGCAACGGAGGCTCAGCCCAGATGGAGGCCCAAGACCTGGGCTTGTAGCACCCACTCGAGGGCAGGGCAGAGCCAGGACTGAGACCCGACACGCCAGGACTCAGAGGGTGGCCTAGAATCAGAGACGAGGAAGTTTCCTTTCCAGAGATGCGGCAGGAGAACTGGCAGCTGCTCTGGCTCTGGGTGGGAGAGAAAGAGAAGCCTTTGAGGAATCAGAACCACCACTGGGCCATGCGTGGACGTGGAACAGGAATCCTAAGCCGAAACTGTAACAAAAGGAACCTAAACCTCTCGTGCCCTCAGGTCCCAACACATCTAAGCGCAGAACCACCAGCCAGGACACTTACCCGCCGGGGCCCGAGGACCCACGGCAGACACAGCTTCACCAAAGATGAACGTGTGAACATTCTCCCCCAAACACAGAGAGAAAGTGGAAGTGAGTTGGGTTAAAGCAGAAGCAGCATTTGTGAGAACCAGAAATAACAAGTGAAAAACTAGAAAATAAATATTTAAAACAAAGAGATAAAGGAAGAGGAATTGTAACGAGGATAGGATATTTAAAGAAAGAGGAGTGGATCTGAAAAGGGGCCGAGTGAATCACTGGAAATGAAAAGGTGTTCAGGAAAGATCATATACAAGAAGTAAAACCCCCAGGAAACTCGAGTTTCTCAGCAGCGAGTCTGGAACGAAATGGGGAAATGCAACCTTATCTTCTGCCACAGAGCTGGGACGGTGAGCGGTGAGCGAGTCCTCGCACACACCCTGGGACACGCAGGGAGGGGCGCTGACTTGATGCTGGGGGCTGGGCCAGACGCTGGCAACAACTGCCCCCATCAGGGTCTGATGGGGCGCTTCTCTCCAAGCTTCCTATAATTTCTGCTCTTCTAGGAAATTTCCATCATGTGCCCACATTTTATTTTTCAAGTAGCAGTGTTCTCATCGGGATGTCATGATCTGGTTGACTAAACCATTGGCCACACAATGGCATTCAATCTCCAGCCCTCCTCCCCTCCCTGGAGGTCAAGAGGCTGAAAGTGTCAACCCTCTCATCATGTGCGTGGTCCGTATGGTGACCACCTCCGTCCTGAAGCTATCGGGGTCCTTCCACGTCACCTCATGACTTAACCAAGACCCTCCTGTCACTCAGGAAATTCCAAGCTCCGTGCCAAGAACTGGGAACACATCCCAGATTTAATCTTTATCGTACCAGAGCTGCCTCCTGAGAAAGCACGTAGTGGGTGAAGGCCTTGTGCTTGGCAACCCTGGCTGGAAATGAGAAATGTGCACTGCTGAAGGGCGGCCACTTAACTAACACTTCCTGGTAGGAGGCACCGGCTGTCCCGGAAAGCACCTCCTGCCCCAGAGACGCCGCCGCAGCCAGGATGCACCGCCGGAGATCTACCAGGAAACACTAACTGGGCAGCCCTAGCAAACCGCGCCGGCGGGTGTTGTGATCCGAGCAGGGTCCACGCGGCACCCAAGGGACAAGGGTGTCAGGAAACGGCTCTCATCCAAGTTCTGCCCTCCGCCTTGCCCTGCTCGCTGGCCTCAGAGGCTGCTCCAGCTGCAGAGGTCGGAGGTGGCTTCTCCTGGGGAACGAGGCGGCCAGCTCACCCCTCCAGGAACATGCCCGGCCCAAGGGAGCCCCTGACTGGAACTGTCTGTCCGCATCTACAACGAGGCGCTGGGGTTCCCCTGGGGAGAGGCTTCTGAGCAGGAAAGGGCTGACTTCTCATCATCAGCTGACCTGTCTCAGGGGCCTTTCTCTCCTCCCAATGACAGTGGAGTAAATGGGAACAGAGTTCTCGAACCCTCCCCCCACCCCCATACCTTCATGGCCATCAGCTCCTGCATCAGCACCGCATTCTCGAGGTCCAGCCGCTGGCTGTCTCCCCGGGGCTTGACATCGTAGCTGAGAGGGTCGATGTGGATGCTCTCCAGCTCCAGCATGGTCAGCTTGACCGCCGCCCTGTCGTTCTTGAGCTGCTGGATGTAGTCCTTCAGCCTCTGCTCGTCCTCCTTCGTGAACTCCGTGTCGCAGCTGCTGGCCGTGGAGCTGGTCGTGCTGAGAAGATAGACAAGGAGAAGCCATCACATTTCCAAGTCACCGCTACCAGGTCCTTTCTCCTCGCTCTTCTCCACACCCCGTCTCTCCAACAGTATTTAGATGGCAGTCCAGGGGGAAAAAGGCATTCTTCATGGCATAGTAAATTGATACCACCTTTTAGGAAATGAATGTAAAAAATAACAGAAATATTTATACCCTTTAGCACAACAGTGCGGGCCCTAGGAGTGAATCCTAAGGAAGTAATTCCACAAAAGCAATGAGATACACACAAAGGTGTTTCATGGAATAGAGGATTTAGTGAGTCAGTACACAGCAAAAAAAGGGGAAATTATGTAGACATTAGAGTAGTAATTACGACAATGGTGGAGATGTTTTAAGTGAGGAAATAGGGTAAAAATCACACGTGAGTCATAAATATAGGTGTATATGTAGACAGGACTTAAAAAAGGGATATGTTAAGGCCCATGGTCAGCAAACTGAGGCTCGTGAGCCACATGCGGCTCTTTGGCCCCTTGAGTGTGGCTCTTCCTAAGCCTTTGGAGTATCCTAATTAAGTTAATAACAATGTACCTACCTATATAGTTTAAGTTTAAAAAATTTGGCTCTCAAAAGAAATTTCAATCGTTGTACTGTTGATATTTGGCTCTGTTGACTAATGAGTTTGCTGACCAATGTGTTAAGGGAACAAAGCAAGTTGAAAAACAGAATACCTATGGCATGATTCATAGATTGTGTGTATATGTGTACATACATGTATGTGCACACATGTCCCTGACTGCTGACAGCAGTCCCCTCGGGGTGAGACGTAGGAGGAGCAACAGTGAAGAGCGAAGGTTTGTACCATGGAAACCATAGTGTGTGTAATATTGCCACAACAACGGAGAAAGCGGCATGCTCCCAGGCCTCCCCAGCATCCCTCCAGAATAATGACTGAGTATAATGTCCACCACAGGGACTCAGATGGGTCCAGAGGGCCCTTGGCCACTACACTGCATGGTGACCGGGCAGGGGCTGCAGACATGAGGCTGAGCGCTTTGGGAAAACCGAGGCTATGGCCCTCAGGAGGGTCTGGCCTTTGCCAGCAGCGGGCAGGCAGCCCCAATGGCTCAGAATGAGGCCCACTCCACCCAGCCAGGCCTTGGGCATCTGAGCCGGTGTGGACCTACCGCCCTTTCCCGGGAACTGCACTGGACCTGCCCATGCTTGCTGTGGCCCTCATGGAACTGGCTTTGGAAAGATGTCAGGAGAGCAAAGAGGCACCCTGAGCTCCCATGAAAACAGGCCAGGTAGGCATTGTCATCTCTGTCATTACAGATTTGGAAACAGGCTCAGAGTCATTAAATGGCTTGTCTGGTCTAAAGGCTGGAAACTGGTGGGACTGAACTCCGGCCACAGCCTTTTCATTCCACACCTCTGTCCTCCCAAGAATCCTGTTGCGAGAAGCTGTGCCCGGAGCAAGGAGTGACATCCACAGGCTGTTGGCTGCCCTGAGCTCAGGCCCATTCTCCTCAACTTACACTAGAACAGATGTGACGAGGCCCCTAACTCAGCAGATGTAACGTTCCCATAACCTAGGTGTGACCCAGGGCTGGTCCACTCTCACGTGAGACACGTTATCAAGCTGGTCGTGCACGAGAGGAAGAGAACATTTTAGGGCTTGGGGTGGTTTTCAAGTCAGAGAACTCTTTCCTCCTCAGACAGGGAGCTCATGAACACCAGAAACAACTGGTCTACCCCGAAGGATAAGTGGGCATCGGCACTGTAGCTTGTGAGGTAATGGGACCCTCCCCAATTCTCTAGGGAGAGGCCACTACCCTCTTGGGCTGCTGTGGTGGGTGCCAGTGATTCCAAGCAGGTCTCTGACACCAGACAGACCTGAGTAAATGCACTTCCTCCGCCACTCCCCAGCTTCATGGCCCAGAGTAAATCACCAAGCTTTCTGGGCTACGGTGAAGTGGGGATCCTCATAATCCCCCTGTCACCTGCTTGTGGAAAGGGGACATGGGCCCTGAAGCAGGCAGAGCCAGCGAGTGCTGTCACAGAGCACTTGTTCTGGGGGAGGGGCAGCCCCCCCCCCCCCCCCCCCCTTCAGCGCTATGCACCATTTCCACGGTAGGCCACACCACAATTATGACCACAGTATCCTAACTCAGTCTTAGAGAGGTTTGAAATTAATAAAGGAGAAATTATGTACAGTAATCTGGTTATACAAGAATGTCCAGAGGGGGACAAAGACTGT